TACACGGTCTCCTTCTATCCGCGTATAGTCCGGCAATTTTACTCTAACATGTTTTATTCATGCGTGGAGCCAAAAGTGATAAAAACAAGCATTGATGGCGTGCCTTTTGCGTTTACTCTTCATGACCTTGCTATGGCCTTGGAGTGTCCATTGGCATCTCCTTTGGATGAGGAGGACCAGCCTCTGTACGGTGCTCCTCCAGCTGAGCTGAAATTGCCGGAAATTGTCGAGGAAATTTGCCACAACCATTATACCGGTAGTCAAAAATCAAGCACAAATAAATCATACCTTCCGTGCCGGTTGTGGTTCTTGGACTCTGTCCTTGCCAAAAATGTCCTTCCCATCGCTAAGCACTATGAACGTAGAAGGGTTTTTCTGCACACCCTTTATGCCGCTGAGAAAGGACATTAGTTTTGTATCCTGCAGCTCATCTGGGACCAGCTTCTCAAGGTCTACAATGATCTTTTTGTGATGTAGTCGGATAATGTCCTCACATGGGCACTTCTTTTCCCATATTTGGTCACCAAGCACCCGTACTGATTACGACTCTCTCAGCACCCGTCTTGATACCATTCAGCTGTGAGTCGAGACCATGGAGGGCACCCTTACGAACTTTCGTAAGGAGACTAGGGAAGGACAGCAGGTATTGCAGGCCATGCTGCAATCTTTGATTAATCGACCCCCAGCTGGCGCCGGTGGCTCATCCTTTACCGCAATGATGGAGTGATTTCCTATTTTCAGTCCATATTTTCATTTTCAGTAGTACTCTTTTGCTTTACTTTGGGCCCCGTTTGGCATTACTTTCAGTTCCTATTTTGAACTTATAACTACCATCTTTTTGTTATTTTGCATAGATACTCGGTTTTTGGTTAAATAAAATTGCAGTTGTTTAGTTTTATCTCTGTCTGGATTTATATAATGTTTATTATGTATAGATGTGTTCTTGACAGGTTTTTAGATTCAAGTTTGGGGGAGTGCTCTTGGAGTCACTTGGTGGCATATTTTTACAATGCCACCAATTTTCCTCCTCTCCTTGGTATTAGTACTTTTTGTACCCTCTTTATTTTTCATTTCCAATTTCATTGTTTGTCTTCTCACATTGAGGACAATATGACATTCAAGTTTGGGGGTACATTTTGGTATTGCATTTTTGCTTACATGTTCTAACTTGATTCATGTAAGTTAATAAATTTAATTTTTGGAAAGCAATGATCTTGTAATCTTAGAACTTGTTGGAGATTGAAGCATGTGTTTAATACTTTGTGTATAGAAGTAAATGATAGTTTTGAAAATAAAGAAAAATCTGAAATGAACATGTTGATTCAAATCGGTTTGTATAAATGTGTCAATTAGATTTTCCCTTGACCATGACTCAGTTGAATTGAAATGATGACCCTAATGAATGGATATATTTGGCATTGATCTAAAAAAATAAATAAATAATGAAAATGACTAGTTTAAGTTCGTAACCTTACTAACTCGAGTTATTAAGTCCTTAGAATATCCTTACACTTAGCACCCTAAAGCCATCCGATTTGGGAGTTGCTGGCCTAACACTTGCTACATGGGTTAGTTAGAAAGCTTAAGGGACTTAGTCATTGCACGGTCATTCACGAAATAAAAATAAATAAATATGGTTCGTTGGACTTCGTAGCCTTGCCAACTCGAGTTATTAAGCCCTTGGAGTATCCTTACACTTAGCACCCTAAAGCCATCCGATTTGGGAGTTGCTGGCCTAACACTTGCTACATGGGTCAGTTAGAAAACTTAAGGGACTTCAGTATTACACGACCAAAATAAAAAATAAAAATAAATAAAAATATGTGTATTTTGAATAAATCATGCCTCAAAGACCTCATTTAAAAGGGAAATTCAATGATTTGAAGACTTGTGTTGTGAAATTGGAAAAAGAAGGTAAAAGAAGTTAGACTTGTGTTGTGAAATTGGAAAAAGAAGTTAGAGTTGATTTCTATTAAAGAGATGACAATTAAAGTATTTATATAGACTATGATGTTGATGCATGAGAATTGAAATATGTTTAGCCATTGTGTTATATCATGGCTTCATATACACAAGGTAGTCTGCAAAATGATTCCGTCTCCAATGTTCTGTCTGTTCTAAGTTGCAAATGAGTTGTGTGTATTTTCTTGCACCATGGTTGATGTCTGTGGATAATAGTTTCAAATGTTGTCTTTTTGTTAAGTCCTTCATTTTGGTTTTGCTATAGGACTAGCAAAATGTAAGTTTAGGGGTGTGATAAACGCCGAATATTGAATATTCAAGCGCCCTTATTTGCATTAATTAAGTCCATTAGTTAATCACATTATATATATTAGCTTCATTTACATGTTTTGTTTACTTTTAGGCAGGTTTTCCAAAAATAGTTAAAAGTGAGGCTTTGACGAATTCTTTAAGATTAAAGCATGCCGTTGCCGGGGACCTTCATTTTGGCCAAGCCAATAATCCATTGAACTCATGGTTTTCTCTACAAAAAGTGCTAAGGAGGATGATTGTGTCATCGGGCCGAGCCAAAATTATTTCAAGAAGTAAAGTTATGCCCAGGAGCATTGCGGGCACCCGCCATGCACTGCGGGTGCCCGCCGATTGGTCTAGAAAGTTTCAGTTTTTACGGGGGCCCACAATCTTGCTGGCCCCTACCAAGTGCAGCCATTAAGCTCCCGTAACACCTACGGGCCCCCACCAAGCTGCAGATAATAGGCCACCAACTCTATTATTTTGCTCAAGTTGTCCCCTTTGACTGAATGAATAGCTATGCTTCCTTCTAAGGATTTCTGAGCCACGAATTGAGGAAGTTAGATTGGATTTTTGACCTATATTTGGTGGCTTGTATCATGATAGAACATCATCTCACATTGTAAGGTTTCTAGAGAGAGAAATATTGTGCTTGAGAGTCTTTGGGTTGGAGCTGCCTCTAGGTGCGAAAGTGGAGGGGTTGGCCATCTCTACTCCTTCCTCCCTTGCTTTTATGGTTAACTAACTCCCTTTCTAAAGAAGTGATGAAGTCCTTCTTTGTAAGCATGCTTTAGTTTTGATTTTAATTTGGGGAATGAAGTGTGTACATGGTATTTTCATAATCTAGAGCACTTTACATATTGTAATGGATATTAATGTCTATAAATGATCATTTTGAGTTGATTATCTTGTCTTAGATTGTTTCCTCTCATGATCATATAGCTTGCATCTTCATAGTGAGAATGAAAATGAGATTGTGAAATGGATTTATTGGCATGTTGTATGAGAAACTTGTTAGTCCATAGCTAAGGGCCTCCCTTTGATGGATTTTTTTTAGTTCTTGACTTCATATGCTCTTACCATAGTGATTGAAGGGTTTGATAGTCCCTAGCTTAGTGAGCAAGTCAAAGCTATACCCTAATTTAGGTAGTTCAAACATGTGAAACTTTGAGGGATTATGCTTAATTCTTGATTCTATGAACATCTTAAAGATAATGTTGTAATCTTATATTGCTACATATTATTGCCATATATCTAATTTGTTTCCCAAGTTAATCATAAGCTAGCATATTTATAGGGCCGGTATTTGATTCATTTCCCTAGTCTTCTTTCCCTAAGTTTATTTCCTCTTAAATTCCTTCAATTTAGTGTTTTATGCAATTTTAATTCCTAGTTCTAAGTGACAAACAAAATCAAACCTTACACCTCTATCATCAAACAAAGTGATTTTAAAGACCTTGGTTGTCATAAAATTGCAGTCCTTGTGACAGCCCAAGTTTTTCAACCCGGTGCGTCAGTGATGAACCGAAAGATGACCCGATAACGGATCTGAAGTGCGGAAGCAAAAGACAAAACAACGGTCTCTAGAGATACAACATGGCTCTAAGACACCATTATGACCCTCAACGAGGTCACGGAACCCAAAGGAATCAAATGGGGAAGCAACGTTTCAAAAAATGAACAAGATTGAACCTAGGGGAAAAATCATCATTTCTAGCTTAAAAGTGGGTGCCACCGAGCACACCATTGGAAAGAAAACGAAAAATCAATGAACTTAGACTCAAAAATCGCTTGATTCGGAGTCCGGATGAAGAAGATAAGGCTAACGGAAGAAGAAGGGGCAAAACGGTCCAAAAGAGGCAACCCATGAACATCTAACTGGTTAGATGGCCTATCTAACCGGTTAGAAGGCCAAAAATAGTGACAAAAATGCTGCCCACACTCATCTAACCAGTTACAAAGCCCTATCTAAACGTTTAGATGTGAAGGGGCAGTAAGGGTGCGACCCAAAAACCTGGCAACAAGGGTTTTTCCGGAAAAAATGGAAATTTGAGGGCCTAGATGATATTTTCTGGAAAAATACAAAGAACAAACCCTGCCTCAAAATTGAGCTTTCTACATGACTCGTGAGGAAAATTGAAAAATACTCACTGTGAATTGTCCAAAATTCCCTCCCAAGAAAATTGGTCCAGAGGGTCCAAAAAGCTGCTTAATTAAAAACTGAGAGCTGAACTTCGGAAGCGATTTCCGATGTCAAGACGACATTTTCTGGAAAAACACGGAAAAGAAACCCCCCCTAAAATCATGTTTTCTATTCAAATGTGTTGAAATAAGAAAATAAAACTGAATTGAAAAGTCTAGAATGCCCCTAAATCAGAATATGCAAAAAAAATGCAAAATGAGTCCGTTGGAGGCTCAAAACACAAATGATGAGGTTTTGCCCAGAAACGACTATGCACGCAAACGTAACTTACCTATTTAGACGTGCTACAATGGTCCATGGCTTAAAAATATAGCCGATGCAAAATCCGACCCCCAACGGGCAAAAAGGCAAAAATGGACTTGAAATGGAAAAAATGGAATCCAAAAATATAAAATGGAGTCAAATGACCATTTGGCCCTTGATCACACTTCATACAAGATTAATAAGACCCTATGGAATTCCCACACCCGATGCAACCATGGTGAAGTAATGACTTGCGATTTTTTAAGGTTTTCATAACATTTCATGAAGTTAAAAAGTTGCATAGAATACAATATACATGTCATTGGCCTCCGGCCTCATCTCATACATATCAAATACATTGAAAGAAGTGTACTTAAGTACACATTACATACATGGAATCGAATATACATATTTTTACATATAAGTCTACAATTGGCATTCCAAGCCAACCTTCACAAAAAATGGAAGTCCCCAAGTCCACAAACCATCCAAGCATAATGAAGACCCCAACTTTGATTCTTGTACCTGAAATATGCCCCAGTATCGTAGGGGTGAGTAACATAAAGCTACTCGTAGGAGATAAACATGCATCGACCTAGCATTTTACAAATTTATCACCTTAAGGTAAAACATGTTAAAGGGGTTCATGCCACCTAACGTCTATATCGAAATGAGACTCAGGGAGCATCCTAAGCTACCTTAGAGTGTTTCTAGCATAAATCACTTCATCCATGCATTTCAACAACATAGAAACATGTTATACAAAGCAACAAGAATCATGATATAAATACATAAATGAAACAAATCAAAGTTGGAGTTATCCGATTAGTACAACGAGTTTATAGTTACCACGGATCACATTATTAATGTAATTGAACAAGGTCTAGAGGAATCCATACAACATGACAAAAACATATTTGAATACAAGTTAACAAGAATTACGTTAACCATGCAATTCGACAACAAAAGAGCATGTTATACAATACAACAAGGAATAAGTTCTCAAAACCATCAACTTAGAATCTAAAGCACAAAATAACAGTAGTGGGTCATGTCACCTAACGTCTAAGTTATAATTGAATCAATAGGATCAATCCTAAGCTTTGTTAGAACGTCAAAACACAATTTTCAATATCGATGCAATTTAACTAACATTGGAACTTCCAATACAATGCATAGAGCACAATTTCGCAAAGTTAACATCATGTAACTTAAAATGGAACCAAAAATAAGGAACAACAAGTTACAACATCATCTAGTTATCAACTTAAAAATGAAATGCGAAATCAAATAAAGTGGATACTCGGACGTCACGTCAGATCAGACCGACAACATAGTTACTTTAGGGTTACTAGCCCACGGGTAACCTCCCTATGTGCGCACTAGACTATATAGAGGGACTATCCCCCATACTAGAACCACGTCCTAGCCATAGCCAAACAACGACATCCCCAAGTTTTCAAAATCAACAAGTTGTGCAACAATGCATATATCAATAGGAATATGCAAGATAATCAACTATCTACCAAGCACAACCAAATTTGGAAACCTATACAATAAATGCTCTAAATTCACAACTAATATGATATGATGAATGTCGAATCTTCAGTGTGCGATTCGTTACACGCTATGCATGAATGATGTTAAATACGAAATGTGCAAATCCTTACAGAAGGCAATAATATATTCAATAAGGAAAACATATTCTCATGAGCACAAACATAACAACTATGTTATCCAATGTTCAAAGCATAACCAAATGAATATACAACAAGTCTAAGTCCATGATTTGAATATAGAAACCACTTCTAAAACACAACTAGATCATGGAGCAAATTGATAGAATTTAAATAGATAAACACAATTAAATTCTATAGATTCCGATTCAATTCCAATTAACCTCAATTTAACACATGTTAAAGGACATGGCAAGGTCATCACCTATATCCATTCTAAAACTCAATTAGGTTGTTAGAACAACAAGGTAAAACTTTAATCAAATCATGCTAATTTAAATCCCAAGATTCTAAAACAATTTCAAATAATTCCAAATTAATATATACTAGTAAACAAGTCATGGCCAATACAAATATCAAGTTAAAACCTTAATTAAGCTAATTGGACCACAAAATAGATTTTAATTAATTCTTTTAATTAAAATCTCTTGATTTTCAAAATTAACCAAATGCTCTCAAATTAACCTATGTTGGAAAACATGCCAAGAACTAATTTAATATCACATTACAAATTTATTTCATTCAATTTAAGACCATGTGAATTAAACTTTCACTAAACTTAAATATAAACTAAAAGTTACAATTCTCATGCAATTAATCCCAATTTAATATATGTTATACAACATGTCATAGCTTGATTTAAGAACACAATACAAGTCTAATTCTTTAGAATACTAAGTAGAAATTAATTAAGCTAATTAATTAATTTCTCTAGAAATCAAAGATGTCCAAAAATTCTCAAAATAATATATGTGAATGTCCATTTCATGGTCATTGCAAATATCATATCAATTTCACAAAGTGAGCAAGCTATCGTCATGTATAATTTAATTAATTTAAAATTTACTAAATCTCTAGATTTCAAAGGTTATTCAAATGATCTCAAATTAATATATATCAAGGATTAAGTCATAGTCATGCCATATATCAAGTCAAAATTGGAAAACAAGCATGGTACAATTAAGTAGAATTTAAATCACATTTAAATCAATTTCTAGATCTTGAACCAAAAGTGAGCGTATGGGTTATATAAACATCAATAGCATACAAGATAGCAAGAATATAACCTAAAACACCCCCTACCTCAATTTGAGATGAAAATCTCAAATCCCCACCGAATTGAAACAGCTCCGAATCCGACGAAACTCCTAGGTTTTGTCGGGGACAACACGATCTACATAAATCTCCAAGAAGCCCCATGAAAATCACACCTTGACCTCAACACCAAACTCAAGAAATGGTCGGAAATGATTTCTAATAAGGGCAAAAGGTAGAGCATGTCGAAGGAAGCAATAAATGGTAAGGCCAAAGGATTTCTACCAAGGAAAAGTGGACCAAAGGAGGAGAGAGAAAGTGGCAGCTCAAGGTGCTCCAATGGCTGCCGGCCAAAGAGGAAGAAGGAGGCTGAAAATCTGATTTTAAGGATTAGGGCAACCTATTTATAGAAATCTCAAAAAGTGCCCCGAAAGGGCCCAGCCAAGTCCGGAAAAATGGATTTTGGGCAAACGCGCTCAAACGGCAAAACTCTGTGAATAAAAAAGATTTAAAATGAGAAAATATGAACAACGGAAGAAACAGCGTTGAAAACTGAGTCCCGAACAGAAAATTATGCCTCGAACAAGTTCGGAAGCAACCGGGTCCAGAAACTCTGAAATTGGAGAAAAATGACCAGAACGAAATTCTAAGAGTCCACGACTCGACGAAATGTGAAAATGAATCCCGTATGATGATCTAGGCTCCAGACGAGACATTTTGCAATAACTTTCGTTAATCGCACAATGACCCCTACAAAAAGGGTTAACTGCGAAACTGCCCCAGAATGAAAATATCTTCCAAAAGATATTTTCTTAGATACCCCTGAAATAAAATATCTTCAAAAGATATTTACGAATAACACTCCAAGAAATGAAAAAGATTCTAAAGAATTGTACATCTATGCCCCTATGGACACCGGGAGCAACCAGAGTACTTTCTTGCAAAAGTAAAGATACGTATTTCGAGGAAACCACTCAAGAGGAAGGCACGTGAAGTCAAAAACCAACTCCGAGCAAGAGAAGTGAGGTTGTGCCAAAAACTGACAAACGGAGATAAGACGAAATAGGTAAAATGACATAATAGGGAAAAGACGAAATAGCGCATAGTGTCCGAAAAACGAAAAATGCGAAAATGACTCGGTCCTCAAAGGAAGTTGTCAATTCACATGAAAGAGCTCTGTTTCGTGTCGCTTAGTGTCATCTCGAGTGCTCGGAATTGGTTTCTGAGACTCTTTCATGTGAATTGACAACTTCCTTTGAGGACCGAGTCATTTTCGCATTTTTCGTTTTTCGGACAGTATACGCTATTTCGTCTTTTCCCTATTTCATCTTATCTCCGTTTGTCAGTTTTTGGTACAACCTCACTTCTCATGCTCGGAGTTGATTTTTGACTTCAGGTGCCTTCATCTTGAGTGGTTTCCTGTAACGACCCGGATTTCTCAACCCAGTACGTTAGTGATGAACCGAAAGTTGACCCGATAACGGACCCAAAATGTGGAAGCGAAAGAAGCCAAATGACCTCAAGAGATGTACATCATCCCTAAGGCCCCAAAATGACTCTCCATGAAGCCACGGAACTCAAATGAGCCAAGCAAATAAAGCAAGAATGCCTAACCTGAAAAGAGATGAACTAAGGGCAAAATGGTTATTTCTCACTGAAAAGGGTACCACCGTGCACACCATTGGAAGGACAACGAAAAATGAACAAACTCAAGAATCGTCTGATTCTGAGTCCGGGCAGAAAAGATATGATATTCCAACACCCGATGCGAAAGTTATGAAGCAATGACTTAACATTTTCCAATATTTTCATAATAAACTTTGAAAACAAAAGTGCATAGAAAATGAGATACATGTCATTGGCCTCCGGCCTCATCTCATACATATTAAATACATTGAAAAGAGTGCACTTACGTACACTTTACATATACGAATCAACGAATACAAGTTTAAACAAATAAGGCTACAAAGAGACATCTTATGCTAACACTTGCATAAAATAGAAACTTAGAAACTGTAAGCCATCAATGGAATCGTCAAATCCTGAGTCCAGTACCTGAAATATGCCCTAGTATCGTGGGGTGAGTAACATAAAGCTACTCATAGGAGATGAGCATGCATTGACCTAGCATTTTACAATTTTATCACCTTATGGTGAAACATGTTAAAGGGGCTCATGCCACCTAACGTCTATGTCAAGATGAGACCCAGGGAGCATTCTAAGCTACCTAGATTATTTATATCATAATCACATTGTTCATGCAATTCAAACAACATGGAAACATGTTATACAAGGCAACAAGATATAGATTCTCAAAGTCTTCAACTTGAAATCCAAAATACGAAAATAACAAGTGTGGGTCATGCCACCTAACGTCTATGTTCAAAATGAATCTATAAGGTCATTCCTAAACTACATTTGAACATCAAAACACAAATTATGATATCGATGCAATTTAACCAACAATGGAACTTCCAATACAACGCATGAAGCATGCTTTCACAAAGCTACATCTTAAGCTCAAAATAGGAAATCAAATAAGGAACAATAAGTTACGATATCATCTAGTTATCAACTTGAAATGAAATACGAAATCAAACAAAGTGGATACTCGGACGTCACGCCGGATCAAACCGATAATATAGTTACTTTAGGGTTACTAGCCCATGGGTAACCTCCATATGTGCGAACTAGACTGTATAGAGGGACAATCCCCCATACTAGAACCAAGTCCGAGCCGTAGCCAAACAACGACATCCCCAAGTTTCCAAAATCAACAAATTGTGCAACAACGTATATATATCAACATGTATATACAAGATATCAACTATTTACCAAGCACAATCCAAATTTTGGTAACTTATACAATACATGCTCAAAATTCACAACTACTATGGCATGTAAGATGTCAAATACAAAGTGTGCAATTCCTTACACATAGCAACAATATATTCAATAAGGAAAAACATATTTTCATGAATATAAAAGTAACAACTATGTTATCCAATACTCAAAAGTAATCAAGTGAACATACATCAAATCCAAATCCATGATTTAAATATAGAAACAACTTCCAAAATGCAATTAAATCCATGGAGTAATAAAGTAGAATTTAATTAAACATAAATAGTTAAATTATCTAAATTCTAAGTTAATCCAAATAACCTCAATTTAATATATATTGAAAGACATGTCATGGTCATCATATATATAACATCAAATGACAAGTTAAGTGATTAAAACACTTAAAACAAAATTAATCAAGCTAATTAATTAATTTCCTCTAGATTTTTAAACAATTCCAAATGCTCTCAATTTAATCTATGTTAGAGAACATGCCAATGCCTATTTAAATACCACATTACAACTTAATTTAATGCTTGACCATGTGAATTAAACTTTCACTAAAGATAAATATTAAATAAAAGTTGTAATTCTTAATTAAATGATCCAAATTTAATATATGTTAACCAACATATCTAAACATAATTTTCTAGTATGTTACAATTCAAATCAAAGTTATACATCATCATAAATTTTAAATCTTATACAAAGAAATAAAAATTACTAACTTTCTAGATTTGATACAAGGCATACATATATATTGTATAATCATGGCAAACACACAATACAACACATAAATAATCCTAAAACATTCCCTACCTCTATTGGAATGAAAATCCCAATTACCGCCGAAATGAAATTGCCCCAAATTTTCGGTCCGCAAAACAGATTTTTCAGCTTGCTACCTTCAACTTGTAAAATTCATAAAAAATTCAATTCTAAACCAAATTGAATGAATCCAAAGCCCAATGAAAGCTTAAACACTATAATTTGATAATATCAATTTAGTTTAACAAAATATTTTCCCAATTGAAACAGTTTTGACCCACAACTTTGAAAAAATTCTGCCCAGAAAACACATTGTCAGCTTGTAGCTTCCAATTTGAAAATTCATGAAAAATTCATTTGACATCCAAATTGGGCAAACCTAATTTATTTTGGAAGTAAACATATGAGAGTGTAAAACTGAGAATTTAAGCCATGATCCAATGTCAAAAGATTAATGAAATAAATCATCTAAAAATATATTTTCCAGCTGCAATAAAAAAATGGACAGCAGATATTTTCAGATTTTTAAAAAAAAATTAGAAATGCTCTAAAATTGTGAAAAAATTCTAAGTAGTGTAAAACCCATGGGGAAAGTTCCAGTAAAAATTTCAAGGCAATTGAAGTACCACAGCTCCATATAAAAATTCATTTCCGGACCGAAAAGGAAAAGCTTCAAATTTCCAGCAACTAGCTTGCAACTTCAAAAATTCATAACTAATTCATTTTAAATCCAAATTACATGAAACCAAAACTAAATGGAAGCTAATTGAGTATATTTTCATATTCTATATTTAATTTGACAAGATTAATTTCAATTTAAAACAGTTTAATGACAAAATACAAGTCCTTCTCTTCCATGCATGTAAAACACTCAATAATGACATAAAAATACTTCAAAATAATAGATCAATACCTCACTAGAGAATTGAATCTCTAGATACCAAAGCAAAACTAGGAGTTAGGCTCGATCCTTCAAGGGTTTTGAAGAGGAGGATGAGGGGAACAAAAAGTATTCCAAGCTTTATGGTCTAAAGTAAGTGGAAGGGCCTCAAAGATCAAGGTCAATGCCTAAGGCTTCAAGCTCCATCCATGGTGGCTAGGGTTTTTTTGTAAGGATGAGAATGAAATAATGTGGTTAAGTGTGAGTGGAGGAAATAGAAATCCTCCACTCACTATGTGCTCTTACACCATGGTCAACACACACATCTATGGTCAATTGCACAAAAACCCTCCTTTAAAACCATAATCCCAAAGTGGCCCAAAGATATTTGTAAGACTAAATTGTGAACCTACACTTGTCACCAATCCATGGCTCCTTCCTAGGCTTAATCCCACCTACACTTGTCAACCATCCAAGCCAACAAGTGCACTAATCCTAGGCCAACAAGTGGGTGAATCCTCATCCTCCAAATGTCATCATCCAATGCATTAAAGTGTTTCCACACAAATGTCAACAAGTGGACCAATGAGAGTGTGACAGTTGTCACACTTTTCAAAAATTACAAAAAGGTCCTTTTTGAAAATATCTTCCAAATTTAATTACAAAATGGTCCCCAAGATGAAATATAATTACTTTATTTAATTACACTAAAACCCCACAAGTTAAGAATAATTACACTAAAGTATGCATTAATGCCCCTTTATGAAAGAAATAAGCAATCAACATGCTTTTCAAGAAAAGTGAAAATACCACTATCATGGAAATCAAATATCATGAATGTATGCAAAACCAGAATCAAATCCGAGCACAAAAAATGAGATTGTGCAAGGAAAAAGGATAAACGAGAAAAAGACAAAATATAAATAGTGTTCGGAAAAATAAAATATGGAAATGACACAATCCCCAAAGGAAGTTGTCAATCTAAGGAAAAGAGTCTCAGAAATCATTCCAAAGCACTCGAGACAACATCAAGTGATGAAAAACCAAATCGAAAAAGGAAAAGACAACGGAAAAAAAATATCCGTTAAAATCTGAGAAAAAGAAAAGGAAGAAAAATGACCGCGTCATTACAACCTTCCCACCTTAAAGGGATTTCGTCCTCGAAATCTTGCCCCAACAAAACAAAAAGGCAAAACTAGGATAACTACGGAGTACATCTCCGCGTATCCCTCACAACATGCTACGAAAGCAATCCCAAAACTGAAGACAACGTACAACCCCATGTCATTCGCACCCATGTGCTCATGACAGGACAACCACTCAAAAGAAAAGTGATCACATGGCCACACCATAAGTCGAAACTCACACATAGAACTTAAGGCCAGACGAGGGAACGGAAGACAACAATCGAAAGCACCCTTCCTGATGAACCATCATAAGGAAGCAAAGACAACCACCAACAGAAGTCCAAGATATCTATGAATCAAATCAAAGTCCTAAACAAAGACGACATGGCAGTACGAATAGCAACCAGAACCCACCCACGACGTACTCAAATGTGTGGTAGCAATGACAATTCCTAGTGTCTGCCCACACTTACTCGTCAGTAAGGTAGCATCGACAACAACTAGCACCCGCCCACAGCACACAACTTGTACGGTAGCATGACAGTATAAAGCACCAATTCATAACCTGCCCCCACTAGGTCCACCCATGAAACCTCTCGATACAAATGACCTTAATGTCAAGAATGATCATTACCAAAAGCACTACGGAAACCAACATTTTGTGAGAGTTGAGATATGGTCCAAAGATGTCCGGCCGGACCATCCTGGCCAATCCCAAAACTCTGACAACAATGCCATAGGTACCGCTACGCTTCAGGCCTTAAATCCTCAAAACAAAAAGACCAACAATTTTAACATCTCAAAACACGATTATCAACAACATCATTTACGAATCCAATGTCTGACAAGCAAAACAACATCTCCAAAATCCCAGATATCATCCTAAAATAAATATACTATAAGACTACTGTGATACCCCTCAGATCCGAGACACGGGTTGATCAGGCCTAGGCCCAAACCCGAGGGAATATTAAACAATTAATATTTTATAATGAACACGGAATACAAAATAAATTAAGAAATGAAATTAAAGCTGGAAGGAACTAAAAATAGAATCCGCAAAATATTATAATTATTAAAATCCATTAAACCCAAACTCTAAAACTCCATTAATTTATAACTTGGGAATCCATCTCTAGTGGACCCCTATTAAACATCCAAACGGAAGATAGAACAAATGTAATAAACGTCCAGAAAGAAAACTATAGAGAGAGCCCTACATCGTCGGAAGAGTGAATAGAGACCTCTGCTCAGCACAAACACGTCTAAGCCTGGAACTGTCGTGTACCTGAAAAATAGAAGTGGGTCAGGCCTACGCGCAAGTTCTATACTACTACAATCCAAACAGAGGCCCGATATGCATGTACATCCTAAACAATTCAACAATAGCTAATAGTCCGTAAATATATATATAGTCACACTAAAGGACTCCACTGGACTATAGGCCGGTCTCAACCTGAATAGAGGTAACATGCTAAAACGCACACGAAGTGGGCATATGTACCTATACCTAAACAGGGTACACCTCTAACCATCGTAGCCAGCTACTCATCCCGATGCATATACGCTCCCTAGCCATCGGTCCTGAGGCTCAAGCTCATACCGAGGCACCATAACAGTACATATATAAAATCCATCCAAAATCCCTGGTATTGCCGCTCAACAAGTAGTTCCCATGAAAATACAAATCCACGGGACTTAACTTTTAGTTAATCCCATTCTTATTCCAAGTAGGTGGGTAATGGTATTGATTTAAAAACCAAACCCATCCTTAGTATGCCACCGTCCCATACCGGTGCCTACTTTCCAATCCTCCAACAGTCAATAATACCAATAAATCAAGTATAAATCAACTAAATTCCAACATCCAATATTCAATGTTAGCAGTGATAAAATAAGCATTGAAAAACAGGGTCACAACAACAACATATACATGCCCAATTTAAGTTGTTCCCTTTAGTCTAATATAAAGACAGAATTAATTAAAACTTCCATTTAACACCTTACAAATGACATACAGATATGTAGGGTATGTATCACAAAATCCTAACCTCCACAGTTGATACTAACTGTGATAATGTAAGCATCAAAACAATATTCACAGTATGTACGTAAACATGCTCAAATTATAGTGTTCCACAAAACCGATTTAGTGTTAAACTCAAATCCTCCTAGTATTTAAGTTCCAACAGTTACTATTACAGAAGTTAAGATAGCTATCATCTAGACCCATCCTTCCAATAATTTATACTAGCAGTGGTAAGGAAAAACGTGAACCACAGAACCACAATGCATCCACAAACATGCTTAGTCTAGGTTGAACAAGCATACAACACTACTGTAACTACCAGTTTCATAGCAAAACAGATATCATTTTAGTTTGGTTTAATCTTCATTAATCCTGGAATCATTTAAGAGTGCAAAGAGTATGAAGCCTAAGGGAAAAAGTAAGGATAGAATCTTGCCTCAGAAACTTTTGTTCAAAGTTTCAACGTCGTCTTCTTAAAAAATCCCGGCGAGTTCCAAAACCCGGTTACTGTTCACGGGTACGAAACACTATTCCCGAGCTCAAAATCTGATCTTCACCATTCAGATTATGCGACACTGAGTCATGAACCTATCCTCCAAATTTCAGCTCGATCGGACCACGGACGAAGCGGGATCGGATGTTTGATGAAATCTGGGCAAAATGGAAAAAAAACATGTGCGACCCAGTTACTGTTCACGAGTATGAATCACTGTTACCGAGGTCAAACTCTGATCTCCACCGCTCAGATTGGGCGTTACTGAGTCGTGAACCTCTCCTCTAGAATTTAGCTCTATCGGACCACGGACGAAACGGGATCGGAACTTTGATCAAACCTTGGCAGAATGTGAAAAACTGCGTTTTTCCTTCTCCACTTCCACAAAACGTGTGCTTTGTTTAAAAAACCCTACACAGACATCTACCTTATACTTATAGAGTTTTCCTAAACCCTAGGTTCATTTAAGTCCAACTCACAATCCTAACCGGCCCATCCAATTAACGTAGAAACCTACGACGGCTATAATATAAAACCCTAATTTATACTGTAATTAAAACCCTAGTTAGATGTATTTACCTAATTACCCTATTCACCATTAAATACTTAACAAATAATCTAATTGAACAAAATAATAATTAGTAAACCCAATTAAACCAAATAAGACACACATAAAATAAGACACACTTAGAATAATTAAACCAATTACACTTAAACCATTAATGCCAATTAAATAATTAAAACACTAACAAGTAATTCCAATCAAATAACTAAACCAATTACACTTAAACCATTAATGCCAATTAAATAATTAAAACACTAACAAGTAATTTCAATCAAATAACTAAAAATAAATATCATTTAAATAAATTAAATCACCACAAAAGAAAACAATTAAGCACCTAATAAAAAATAATGACACATAATCAAATAAAATGCACTTAAATAATAAATTAAATACCATTAAATACCAGGAATATCCTTTTTAAAATTAGGGGTATTACATTCTTCCCCCCTAACAAAAGGAATTCCGTCCTCGGAATTCACTCTTACCTTTTTCCAATATTTCAGGAAATCATGAGCGAATGACATCCTCTCATTCCCAAGTGGACTCAGACTCATTGTGATGACTCCACTGAACACGAACCAAAGGAATAACCTTATTACGAAGAATCTGATCTCGTCGGTCGACAATACGACACGGTGGCTCTAAATAAGTTGCATCCGGCTACAACGCAATCTCCCCAACATCGATATGCTGATACCGATCCTCATCTCGAAGAAATTTCCGCAACATGGAAACATGAAACACGTTGTGGACGCGATCCAAAGTATCCGGAAGTGCCAACCGATAAGCAACAGCTCCAATGCGATCCGTAATCATGAATGGACCAACAAATCGCGGTGACAACTTCCCTTTCTTCCCAAAGCGCATAACACCCTTCATAGGAGACACTTTGAGTGGAACCTGATCCCTAACCTGAAACTCCAAAGCCCGAGTACGACAATCAGCATAGCTCTTCTGCCTACTTTGGGCAGTACGCATGCGATCTCGAATAAGAGCAATCTTTTCAGAGGTAT